TGACCAAACTTACGTGTAATTCGATTTACTGAAACTTACGTAAAATTACAAGTAATGTAAGATTGTAATTTTTGTAACACAACCCTAGTTACAACTAGGGTTGCATAATTTATCGTTATACTCAGTATTGGCAGCAATAGAGTAATAGAATTTAGAATAGAATAAAATTTTTGTCAATAGAACAAAAAATTGCCAACAAGATTATAATTAGTGATGAGATTGACTGGGGTTAAAAAAGGAGGTAGTTTGATTTTCACGTAACATAGCGTATAAAAAAACTTATATAAAATTATTTATTTAAATGGTCACAACACGTATATTGGTACGTATGAATTATTTTAATCATACATTACGAATATCACACATATCGATATCGCAGTTCGTAACGGTAATACAAAATTAGATATTCGGGTTGTGTTACTTTTCTGCAGAATCACGGTCGATTTTTGATTTATAATATGACCCGCGATAATAAAAACGCACGAATGGGACTTAAAAGGGCTATAAGAAGAAAGAGTATAACGTTCTTAATCAGTAATTTTATCGAAATTCATATGTTACTAGGACTTGGAATCTCCGAGATCGTCAGATCTAAACCCACTTTAAACGATCGTCAAATCTAAGGGAGTTAGAACGACGAAAAGAGCAAAAGGAAGCGATTATTAGTTTTTAAAAAAAAACCATTAAATTAGCGGAGCTAGTGCCATAAAGGCACATAAAAATATTTTTTATTTGTATATTGTTGTTCCAGCAATATTTTTTTTTTTTGAAATAAAGAAGGGGGTCCTGTGGCCTCGCCATTTTTTATATTTTTGACCTGAAAAATACTGTATGATGAGATAATCTTTATTATACAATTACGTATTATAGTATTATTACTGATCTATTATTCGCAGATTTAATTCATATGACATTGCTCTCTCGAGGCTCATGTGTTTTACGTTCAAATATTCTTATAATCAAATATGCTACAACATACTGAATTGGATTATCGGTAAATTTATCTTTTGTTTAGCCATTTAAATATATACTTATTACTTTTTTTCGATTTAAGTTCCCTTCACATATACAAAGCGACCATATATATTTATTTATTTATACAGCATACACGTTAAAAATACAAAACCGGTGTGTGCAAAAACTTTATTATATCTTGCTACCTAACTTCGTTGTATAGTGCAATGTACTCAATAATGAAAATACAACGAATATTAAAGAGATTTGTTGGTTGCAATTTTACTACAATGTCGAGATTTCTGTCTGAATTGCCGTTTCCCATTGAACAAATTTTGCACGTTGCGGTGAAGATTTACAACACGATGCTGGCGATGAAAAAAAAGGTTAGAAAAAAATATTATTTAATATTTACAAGAATATCACGATTCTAGTTATTACTTTAAAATAAACCATTGATCTTATGATTTCTGACAATTCACACAATTGACTGGCGCCAGTGGGTATCGCAAATTCATCGAATTTGTCTGTCAGATATAAACCACCAGAATAGTGCATCGAGTAAAAATAAAATTTGTTTTCTATGAAAAAAATAAAGAAATATTAGGTTTTTGGTGATTTAATAAAAAATAGAATATACAATTGATTGTTACTTACTATACACAAGAATCCCTAATGTTTCGGCATTGTTAAAATCATTTTCATCCACTCCATGTTCTCGCAACGCTTGTCGCAATCGAAAGAGCCCAAGTTGCATTGCTGTTGAAATTAAGACGTACTAGAATTACCATACTTAGCCAGAGAAAATAAAATAAAGAAAAGCCTCTACTTACACTTAAGAATTTTTTCTCTATCTCGCTCCATTTTTGCATCATCATGTTCGCAAGCGTTTCCTACAACCTCACCAAATCCTATTTGATATTCGATGCTCTTCACTTTCATTATTAATAAAGCGTCGTGCTCCCAACCAGTGGCACGACGTACTCCTGGTAATCTATTTGAATCCTTCTGAACTTTGCGGTCTAAATTTTCGACCTCGCCTCTATCAGTGATAAGTGGATCGCATTTAGGTTGTATAATAAATCATGATTTGAAATAATTTTCTAAGACTCACGTTTTCATACGAATCACTTCATTTATTTCCAAAAAAACATTTTCTATTAGAGGATTTACGATTTTATCTCTATATGCGTATTCTGATAAATCGCTATCATGGAGTGGATTAATTGCGAGACTGAAGCACAGTGAACTATGGAATAAAACAAAAGTAAATATCATCAATTCAAGTATTAGAACAGAGAGCATTACCTACAATGCATTGTAAATGGATTGTATCCATTGTAACGGCCACTCCTTACAAAATACATAGTAATTCCGATTGATAAGCGTACACTCGTTGAAGACACCAACGATTTCGCTCAAGTTGACGCTGTATCCAATTGTAGCCTTTTTGATCGCATCATCATATTTTTTTAATAAATTCTCTTGATCTGTATCTATTCCATTACTTACAGGTACAACCATTTCCTCAATCTAGAAAGAATTAGTATAAGTTTATTGTCGAAATCATTTTAGTAAATATACAGAAGACCACGAACGTTTTGCCATTCCATTTCAAGTTTTAACCATTCCTCCTCTTTAAAAGCTAATTTAATCGGGCTACTATTATTTTCCTCGGCCAAGAAGACAATTCTATATCGTGCAATTCCGCTAATACTTATAAGTTTCTTAACGATCGGACTCTATAAGAAAAGAATTAGTTTAGTGATAAATCTTATTAATCAAGGAGATATGCATAAAATAAGGAAGATATCTAAACCTCTAATGAAATTATTTCTTCATCTTCCTCGTGATGCTTTTCATGTTTATTATTTTCCGAGAAGGAACTGTCGTTGCCAACTGATATCTAATACAATTTACATGACCATTATTAATCTCAGTTGGCTTATCCAATCAAATTTTTTCGAATTTCAAATATACAGACTTTTTTCGTTGGGACCTCTGGTGTCTCTGGATTTTCATTCTCGTAATTTCTTTTATTTCCAACATTATTAATATGGATACCTTTACAAGAAACCAATTGTATACAATTTGTCCCTTCGTTCACGTTTCTTTCTTTAAGAATTGGTTTCTTGTTTTCAACAGTAAGCCATAGTTTGTCGATAGCGTTCCCTTCTTTGCGTTGATTATAGTTCTGACGATGAAAAAAGGGAAAAAAGACATTATAAGTTTGAACTAGTAAAGAAAATACTTTCTACGTGATATTGTAGTCAGTATTGAGAACCATAACAATCTAAAAGATCTGTCAGAGGACCAGCTAAAAGCATCACACCTCCTAGTTATGGAATGTCACAACCACAATACGATCTAAAAGATCTCAGAAGAACGACTAAAAGTTGAACTTCCTATGTTGTGGACAACTGCAATTATCTAAAAGATTATCGCAGAGGACAATTTCTAGGTAGGGAAAATACTCGCCTTTAAAAGATCACTAGCTTTCTGTACTCTTGTTTGATCTGAACTTTTATTTATAAGCTCACGAAGGCTTTTTGCAAGTGCATCTACTGCTTTACCGTATATAAGGTTCTCATAATCTTGTTTATATATATGTATCCAATTTTTGTGGAATCTATAAATGCTCCAATCTTGGACATTAATTTTATCAAAATATGTATGCCAGGTCATTTGTAAAAAGAGTTAATTATGAAAAGGAAGGTAAATCTTATATTCTCTTTTATAAAGAAAAACACGTCGCGTTCTTGATTTACTCCACGAGATCACCATTTTTGATTTACAATATACCATAATCTGATTGGCTAAAAAAAATTGACATACACTTCTAAATCGGATGTATCAGAAAAGACACTTTAAACAAGTAAGTAGGTATTTTTTGCTCTATGCGAGTCAAGATTAAAAGTAAAGTTTTGAAGTGACATATACCAAAATTTTGCAATGAATTTTTTTTTGTTATAACGCAAACGACGGTTTCATAGGCAAAATTTCAAGTTAAAGACGATTTTTGTGAACATTAGTTTTAAACCAGTTTGGGATATATATGCCAGTTAAGGTACAGTACTTCAGAAAAATGAAAAATGACACTTTGGGCTTGTGCCTATAGTTGTTAGGCGAAACCGTTTTACAAAAATGGCGAAAGACGAAACCTAAACCCAAAAAAGGCGAAACTGACGAAACTCTGGCGAAGGCGAAACTCCTGGTGAAAGTCGAAACCCTTGGCGAAAGACGAAACCTCTGATGAAAGGTGAACCAGTGAAAATTAAACCCTGGTGAAGATGAAACGACTGGTATCTGAACTTTGATAAAGGAGATAACAAAAAAATAATTTCATTAATTATATATTGTTATTGAAAGATCAAATAGTTAGTTCTTTAATTAGGTATTTGTCAAGATATATTGTTCGAAAGTTAGCAAACAATTCAAAATGTCTAAAATAGAAGATACACCAAATTTTTGAACAATATCTGCCTGATAAAATTTACATTTTTTAAATCTGTAGAATTGAAAAAAAAATTATATCGAATTTGGTCCAGTAGCTTCGAGATAGCTTCGTTCAAAGTTTTAAAAAATTCTAGTAAACTTATTTTATTAGAAGCTTTGAGATGTTTTACTATGACTTCTCAATATTAACTATATTCGAAGACTAATTATTCGCCGTCCTTTGATCTTCAAATTTATCCAATTGATTGGTTGTACTCAGGTATAGTTGCTGCCGTAATTGCTGAATTACGGCAGATGCCGTAATGCCGTACATATACACGGCAAAGCACCTGAATGCCGTA